AGCAGAACCCCTGCAATGAAAATTTCTGATACTTAATTCCATCAACAAAGTATGCTGTTTTAGGACTTAATAAGAAATCTGTTGCATTGCAATCTTTAATCTAAATCCTTACTGGGATATTAAGACTGGAAATGTTCTGAGGTTTCATTTTGATTTTTACTTTGAGTTCCTTAGCAAATTTGATTTGTTTTAATTTCCCCAGTGATATCAGAACACTTTCTCCATTATTGTTTCCTTTGTTAGAATTAATATTCAAGACAATTTTCTCTTCAAAGTCAATGGCAGAGGCACCATTTGGGGTCCATTGGTATCCGTCTGAATATTGATTTTGCAGTGGCTAATTTCGGTGTCTTACCCCCATGACATCTCCTTCTCTTGGTGCCTTCCTGAGAATATCCCTTGATTAGGTTCTAACAATACCCTGGCCTTCATGCTTATAGCTGGGTGGCTACTGCCTCATCAATAACATGTTTACAGAGCATCCTTTTGAATGGCCATTTGCATGTGTTGTGCACTGATTTATTGGAATTTGGGTTTTAGATTGTGACTTTCTTCATGTGACCCATCCCCACATCCTGACAGTGCTTTTTGTATCTGTCTACATTAAAAATGTGAACTTTTATAAGAACTTAGGTATATGTCAAAATGTTTAATGACACTTTTTTTCTTATGTTTTGTAAGTAGCTTTGCCTTAACACTGGCATAGTAGTGTAGCTATCTGCCTTAAAAGAGGAAAGGTGGGCATGGTTGATCTTGCTGAAAATGTGCACTTCTCTATAAAGATTAATATACATATGCATGAACTCTGCATTTACTTATTAAGCCTCTCACCAGGAGCAGGTTTAAAATGAGTATCATAATAACAGTCCTGGATAAATAATTTTTGGCTATGATAATCTTATTTTTTTAAATGAAAGAAACAAGTAGAGCACTAACTAAATCCAAATGAACAAATGATAATAAAAATTAAATTTATCTCAATTGAATTTGCTGTCCCTATATAGGCTTATAATTAAAGCCATATTTCATTATAATCACTCTGTCAGTATCACTGAACTTGGTTCAGTTGTTTGAAAATTCACTGTTGATGGTGTTAGATCTAGCATTATTCTCCTTAAAAAAAAAAAAAAAAGAGAATTATACATTTTGACCTGATATCCATTTATAAGGAATTATTTGGAAATCGTTTTTAGTATACGGTAAATATTTACTCTCCTTTCTTCTGTTCTTGGAAATCTTCACATGAAGAGCATTTAGATTTTGTGTGCTTTTGAATTTTTAGAACTTGAAAATTTCTTTCCAAAAAGTATTAATTTCTATAATGAAGTAGGTTGTTTTTATTTGACATTTCTGCCTGTTATCCAAAAGGAACTTATCTTAGTATATTAGAATTATTTTGTTGGAAAAACTGTAATAATTTTAATCTTCAAAATATTGAATATGGTGAATAGAAGATAAGCCAATACTGGAAAGAAGAGAAGAGTTTTAATTTTATTAAATGAAGAAAATTATAAAATAGATCAGTGTTTTTTTAATGAATAGAAAAGCCTAAGAACTATCTGAAAATATGCACTATTGTTTGTTAATAAGTCCTTTAAATTTGATTAAATGTACTTCATTATATGAGGTAAGACAAAAATAATTTTTATAGCTAATAAGGAATAGCCAATTTTCCCTAAAAAGAAAAAATACACCTCCTTCTACTTTTTAGTGCTTGTTATATAAAATAGATTTGATCGTACAAATCTTTACAAGAAGCTAAAAAAAATATTTATATATATTTAATAGCATATTAAGTTTAGGAATGAACACAAAAAGTTGTTGAACAAATCTGTTAAAATATAAAGGTTTACTTTTCAAGTGCATTTATTCCTTTGATAAGTCATGAGGGAAGCTTTGTTTTGACTCATTCTTTCTTAATAATAAGGGAAATACTTACAAGATAAAATTAATCCACACATGTTTATTGTACCATTTAAAAGGGAAATTTGTATTTATTGATCTGTTTATATCTATTGATATATGACATTCAGTTAAGGATGAGGTTAACCAGTTCCCCATTACAGACATGCACAATATTAAGATCAGAATATTAAATCATCAGAATTCAGAAGACAATTAATCTGATTCATGCCTCCCTGAAATTTTTTTAATGTACGTAGTGCACATTACCAAAGGTTTATTTTAAGTAAAAGAACACTATAGGCAGATGGAAGTTCACCTCTTGCCTCTCCTTCCTGTAGATCTCTTTAAAGAAGTGGCGGGACCGACAGAAATGTGTGACCAGCGGCAGCTGGGCCTGTTACTTCATGATGCCATCCAGATCCCGCGGCAGCTGGGGGAAGTCGCGGCTTTTGGAGGCAGTAATATTGAGCCTAGTGTTCGCAGCTGCTTCCAGCAGGTAAACACCCAGGATCACCGGTATGAAGCATGGGTTGGGGATGGATTTTGTGAATGTTTCGAGAAATGGAATAGGGAGCTTGGTTGGGCTGGAGCCAAATGGTGGAAGACTTGGGTGCCATCCCAGTAAGTTTGTGTGTTGTGTCTTCAGGCACATTTTATTCAAGGAACAGAGACCCCTGCAGGAGGCTTACTGTTTTCTTTGGGAAAAATTCTCAAATCTTTTGCGTGTGCTGTTAGATGGCTGTGTTTGGCCCTGTCTTTGCCCTGGCCTCATCTCTTGCCACTAGGTCCCTTGCTCTCTCCTTTTCAGTCGTTCTCTTTTAGTTCCTCAGTTCCTGCTTCAGGGCCTTTGGACATGGGCCCTCTGTTTAGAACACTTTTCCTTCCCCTCTACTAACAAACTCCCTTCTCATTGCTAATCTTTATCCAGTCGTTAGACTTTAGCTTATCTCTCGCATCCTCTGAAAATCCTTCTCTGACCTCTTCAGATGAGGTTGAGTTTCCCTACTGTATTCACCCAAATATCCTCTACCTCTTCCTTCTCATGCTCATTGCTAATTTGAGAAATAATCAAATTACTTTGTGTTACTTCTGCCAAGTCTGGTGTGAGGTAGATTAACCCTACCGCCCACGTTCACATGAGGAGAGCTGCTAAATTACATACCAGATTGTCTAATTGGTTATCTAGTGTTTGTTTCTTCTCAACCTGAGCTCCATGAAGACAAAGACTGTGTCTATCCTTTTACACATATATGTTGTATACTGTCTCAGTCTGTTCAGGCTGTTATAACAAAATACCATAAAGTGGGTAGCTTATAAACAACAGAAATTTATTACTTACCGTTTTGGAATCTGGGAAGTTCAAGAACAAGGTACTGGCAGATATAGTGTATGGCAAGGGCATACTTTCTGGTTCATAGACAGTGCCTCTTTGCTGTATCCTTGAATGGAGGAAGGGGCGAGTGAGGCTTCCTTGGGTTTCTTTTATAAGGGCACTAATCCTGTCCATGAAGGCATCACCCTCATGATCTAATCACTTCCCATGACCTAATCACTTCTTTATTTTTTTTGTCCTTTTTTTTTGAGACTGGCCGCACCACGCTCAGCCAGTGAGCGCTGTGAGCGCACCAGTCATCCCTATATAGGATCCGAACCCGTGGCGGGAGCGCTGCTGCGCTCCCAGCGCCGCACTCTCCCGAGTGCGCCATGGGCTCGGCCCTGACCTAATCACTTCTAACACCATATCCATGGGGGTTCGATTTCAACATATGAATTTGGGAGGGGGGAACATAAACATTCACACTATACCATATCCCTGTGCACAGTGCCTTGAACATCATAGCTGCTTTAATAAATATTTGCTAAATTAATGAGAAAAAGTGCTCTGAGTTCTTTGTAGGCAAAATTTTTAAAAAATATAAATTAAAGATATTATTAAAATAGCAGTCTTTTCTTGCAAAAGGAGGATAACGTATGTACAAAGTTTACACTGACCAAAGTTTCTAATTTTTGACTGGGAAATCATTTTAGTTTCTTTGTAATTCTTACTGTGTTTAAAGGCATTTTAGAAATATGACTACTGATGCTATATATATGCATAAACTACAAGCCTATGGATACTTTGCCAAAGCTAGCCAATGATTTATCATTACTGAGGGGAAAAAATGCCTCATACCATATCTTTGAGGAGAATTATAGTGGCCCTTTTATTTTAGAAATATAAAAAATACAAAACAAAAATTCTAAATTTATGGTCACATGTGTTGGTTCATAGAATTACCTCAACAACAGCAGGAGAATGATGTTGGTATAAATTTAACTTTGCACATATGAAAATTACTTAGGATTTGAAGAGGGACTGAGAAATTTCATATAATTTATCATAAGTTTGGAAATCCTGCAAAGTACATTCATAGCAATATGCCTCCAGTGTGATGATGTGATGGGGCTGAAACAGGACATTTTTAGCATTTATAATGGCCTTCAAATTTGTGAAATTATTAGTGAGTCTTTCACAAATTTTTACTTTTGCAGATGAATGAGTTTTATGGAATTAAAGTATTTATGTGGAAAGATTACCTAGAATTGTGTGGTTTTGGTTTTTACTTTTGTTTTTTTAAATCTGAATGTATTAAGGTATTGGGATATGTTTTCTTCTTCCTATGTGACAATTTCTGCTTTTTAAATTTTTAAAGTCTAGAATTTTCTTGCCTTGAAGGAACCGTAAAGCTTTTGTGATTTAACTGACCTGGAAAGCGTTATATAACTTTCCTCTTATATCTGCACAGATATCTCAGAAAACTGTGAAGCAAGAACATTTGCTGTAGTGTTAATGAAGAAATTTTGTCCACTTTTAATGTATTTGTTTCTTCACCAGAATAACAACAAGCCAGAGATAAGTGTGAAAGAGTTTATAGATTGGATGCATTTGGAACCACAGTCCATGGTTTGGCTGCCGGTTTTACATCGAGTGGCAGCAGCTGAGACTGCAAAACATCAGGCCAAATGCAACATCTGTAAAGAATGTCCAATTGTTGGATTCAGGTATGATGTGCTACGAGTGGTGGAAGCAGACTGTTTTCCGTTCCATTTGTGTAATCTCAGTGCTATGCCCACCATCCCTTTCCACTTACTCCCATTTGAGATTTGCCTCCTAAATAGATGGGATGCTCAGCATAAGTGATCTATCTAAAACTGGCATTTCTTCTTACTACCACTACATGAGGCTTATTTTATGATTACTGCTGCTGTTATTTATACTACTATGGTCCAGAACCAGAGATTTTATGAATTTCTACATACTTAGGTCACAGAAATGTTCATTTGTGATGCTTGCATGACTGATTAGAAACAGGCAGCCCTGATGGAATTTGGTGGATGTTCTGAGGTCTTTGGGGTCAAACTTAGGAAGCAGGAAGCAATATTTAAATACTGAGAAATAATCAAATTACTTTGTGTTACTTCTGTCAAGTCTGGTGTGAGGTAGATTAACCCTACCGCCCACGTTCACATGAGGAGAGCTGCTAAATGCCATACTTTAGTGTCATTGGTATGTCAGACTCATCAGTTTGTGAGTCCAGAGCAATCTGTGCATATCTTGGCTATTTGTAAAGAGAGCTGTGATAAACATGGGAGTGCAGGTGTCTCTTCGACATGATGATTTCCAGTCCTCTGGATATATACCCAGAAGAGGGATTGCTGGGTCATATGGAAGATCTATCTGTAGTTGTTTGAGAAACGTCCAAATTGTTTTCCAAATTTATGTTGAGTGAAACAAGCAAAGCACAGAGGGATGAATACCGCATGTGCTCACTCATATGTGGGAGCTAAGAGAGAAAGAAGGAAGGAAAGAAAGACCACAGTAGTGCCATGATCCAACAGAGGGAGGGAGCATTCTTAGGGCTACAAATAGGAGTGGAGGGGAGAAGGGGAAGGGGAGAGAGGTTGGGGGATAATTGGGAGGGGACAAAGGGTACAAAAGTAATTTCTGGTAATGGGTATGCCCCCAGTGTGAATCTGGCTCTCACATCATGGGCGGGAGGGGGGACAATCAGCTTTGTATCTAATGAATATTTGTAATAAATAAATAATTTTTTTTAAAAAAAAAAGCAATCTGTGCAGGGTCCCAAAATGAAGTGTCTTGGCCATCTTGGTTCTTTGACATTCTTCTCTTAAGGTAACTATGCATTCCACCTCTTAGAATATACTGTGTTTCTCTTCTGGAAAGAATCTGGAAAATAGTCCCAGTTTAATTTGGAAATCTGTTGTGAAACAACGTAAGCCTGCTCGGCAGGGGAATCAAGGTTTCCTACATACATTTCATTCATAACGGAAGAGGAATTAGCTAAGATGGCAATTCCCTGATAGAGAATCAAATCAGGAGGGCTGAGATGGGTGGTGGTTGTATGTAGTATCAGTACCAGTGTCTTGAATTAAACAAAATTGCTTTTGTTTGACTGACTTTATCAGGATAATAGTTTGTATGAAGCATGTCAGTTCAGTTTTTGTTGGTGGCTAATGTAAAAAATAGAACTCAGATTTTCTGTTCTCCCTTACATTGTGGTGTCGTGGGGGAGATTTTCTAAAGTGTTTTAAGTTCAGAGGGTCTTGCAGCTGTGTTCTAAGAGGATGGAAAGGCCAACAGTGTACATAAAGCAGCATCGGCATATGCCTAAGAGACAGCCAAGATAGTGGATGCCCCAGTGGAAGTCAAAGGGTGAACGCTGGAAGGAGGATGATGGGAAAGACACAGTTTAAATGCAGGAAGTTTCTTGGAATAGTTACGTTTTAAGTACCTGGTGGACATAGATGCACAGGAGAGGAAATAGCTGGAATGTGGCAAGCTCAGGATACTAGTGGAAAGATAATACAAGTGACAGATATCATCAGAGCTAGTAATCATTGCCATTTACTGAGTGTTTACTATATGCCAGGCACTGTGCTAAAATGAGTGGCATTTGTTACTTTGTTGACTCGTCATAAAGCTCTATAAGATTAGGAGTATTACCTCTAGTTCTCACGTGAGGGAACTAAGACTTAGAGATTAGGCAACTTGCCCAAGGCCAGGTATTCAATGAACAGAGACAAAGTTGAGATTCAAATCCAGATCTTTTTGACTCTGAAGTTTGTGCTCTTAATCAATGTGCTATTTTTAAAAAGCAGGTTAGATTTTTAGGAGAGGAGAGATTTGGCATAATGAAGTAATTAAGTGATACTGAAAAGAACAATTGATTTAGGACCTTGATTATTAGACCAAAAATATTACACTGGATATAAAATGTAATGTGAAGCCACAGGAAATATCCAGATTAATTGACTTTGGAAGAGAATGGCTTACATAAAATTTGCCATATATAAGGCTATGAGATGCCACGAGGGACCAGATTTCTCAAAGGGTGTGAAGTACAGGACAAAAGACTGTAAAAAAATTTTAGCATTTTATTGACTTTTAAAGCTTTATTTTTTAAGTAAAAATGACCTGAAGCAATGGTAGCAAAATATTAAGACGTAACAGCTAAGCGTGGGTACATGTATGTTTATTATATTGTTCTTGCTACTTTTAAATAAACTTGAAATATTTCATAAGAGAAATAATGATAGAGCAGTTATAAAGGGTGAACAATGTTAAATGGTAAATTTCAGGTGTTAAGTTTTTGGCATTAATATAAAATTCACATGTAGATGTATTTATGATAAAGATGTTGTAGAGCTAGGGCTGGGTTTGGAACTCACAGACCCCATGTTATTTATACTACTGTAGTCTAGAACCAAGAAGAACCCTCAAGCCCATTGTCCAGACTGGGTCACAAACCCTTCACGTGCAGGTCTACAAGCTAGGTAACTGGAAAAAAGGGTCCTTGGAGCCTTGGTTGAAGAAAGAGTAGACTTTATTCAGCACACACATGTATAAAAGCTAGGCAGTACAAAGAGAAACTCCACTGCTACCAGCAAAGTCCAAAGAAAAACTGAGCAGCTGCCAGCAAAGTAAACATGCTCTATTTTTAGACGTGAGCTCTGCCAGCCAGCCACTGCTTCACAAACTGAAGAACACACAATAGCAACAAACTAAAAAAGATACATGGAGGTGCATTTGCACTAACTCCACCCACACGCAACTTGTTTACAAAGAATGTGCTGCACCACCCCTGACAGGACCTGAGGTGAGGGGGCCTGACTAAACTACTCCATTTTCCTCATAGATGTGAAGTTGACCAGTTGGTCAGAGAACATGGTTACAGCAGGATATGGAAGAGACAGTGTATTGGGAACTAACTCTGGAATCAAGCTGCTTAGATTTGAATCTTATATCTTCTATTTGGCTCTGTGACTTTGAAGAAGTTATTTGGCCTTCCTGAACCTCAGTTTCTTCAACTTCAAACTCTACGAGTATCTCCTTATAGGAATAGTTGATATGTGAAAAGTATCTAGGACAATACCTATCACAAACAGAGCAGGCATTCAATTCTCTTTATTATCATCAATAACATCATTAGTGGGATAGTGACTGTGCCTACAAGTGTCATTGAACTTTTCCATTAGGTAGAAATTCCAGAAAAACTGGACAGTGATATTGCTCAGTGGAAGGCAGGATTGAAGGTATATAAGGGAGAGGAAGATGAGCAGGATTTTATTATTATTTTTACTATTATTGAAACATAGTTGATTTATATATATTCATGGGTACAGAGTTGAATATCAATACCTGTGTACAGTGTGTGATGCTCAAGTGCTCAAGTCAGGATAATTAGCATATTCATCATTACAAAATGTAATCATTTCTTTGTGTTGAGGATGTTTGATTTCCACTCTTCTAGTCATTTGATAAAATGCATTAAATTATCATTAATTATAGGTGCCTAGCTTGACTCTACATTAGTAGAACTTATTTTTCCTAACTAGCTCTTTTGTGTCCATTAATCCTTTTCTTGGTACTCCCCACCTTGCTCTCCCCCTTTCCCAGCTCTAGAAGCTATAGTTTTGTTCTCTCCTTCTGAAAGTTCCATGTAAGATTAAGATTGGTTTTTTTGCTTTTCTTTCCTCCCCTTCCCCTTCCCCCTCCTCCCTTCCTTTCTTTCCTTCCTTTCTTCTTTCTTTATTTTTTAGCTCCCACTTATGAATAAGGACATGTGGTATTTCTCTTTGAGTCTGGCTTGTTCCACTTAGCATAATTTTCTCCAAGCTCATCTGTGTTGCTGCAAATGACAGAATTTCATTGTTTTTTGTGGCTGAGTGGTATTCCATAGTGTATATATACCACATTTTCCTTACCCAGTTGTCCATTAATGGATTTTTAGGTTGGTTTCTACTCTTGGCTATTGTAAATAGAATTGCAATAAACATGGGAAAGCATATGAAGGTTTCTCTTCAACATGATGATTTCCATTCCTTTGGGTATATACCCAGCAGTGGGATTGCTGGGTGGTATGGAAGTTCTATCTGTAGTTGTCTGAGAAACTTCCATACTGTTTTGCATAATGGCTGTACTAATTTACAGTCCCACCAGTAGTGTAGGAAGGTTCCCCTTTCTCCACATCCTCACCAGCATTTGTTATTCTTTTTTTGATAATAGCCAGTCTTACTGGGGTGAGATATCTCAGTATGGTTTTGATTTGAATTTCCCTGATGATTAGTGATGTAGATCAGTTTTTCATGGACCTGTTGGCCATTTGTATGCCTTCCTTTGAGAAATGTCTATTCAGCTCCTTTGCTCATTTTTTAATCTGTTAAATTGTGAGTTCCTCGTATATTCTGGATATTAATCCCTTGTCAGATGTATAGTTTGAAAATATTTTCTCCCATTCTGTAGGTTGTCTTTGCACTCTGTTGATTATTTCCTCTGCTGGGCAGAAGTTTTTAGTTTGATATAATCCAATTTGTTTACTTTTTCTTTTGTTACCTGTACTTTTGGGATCTTATTCATAAAGTCTTTCCCCAGTCCTACATCCGGAAGTGTTTCCCCTGTTTTCTTCTGGGAGTTCTATGGTTTCAGGTCTTACATTTAAGTCTTTAATCTATTTTGAGTTGATTTTGGTATATGGCAATAG